ACTGCACTCCAGTCTGGGCGACAGAGTGAGACTCCAACTCAAAAAAAAAAAAAAGATTGGCTTTTCAAGCTCCAATTCACTTAATCACATACTAAATTGCCGACTCCCAATAATACATTTGAGTCTAAACCCTTGGGATATCATCCAACCAGAATTATGAACTCAGTGATTTTTCTTATAACCTGAGAGCAGATTATTATACGTATGTAAAATCAACATGTTCTTGGGCCTGATAAATTTCGAGTAAGGTAAAAGCTATACTTTTTATAATAACGACTGATTTCTAAAAGAAAATTCTGGTAAATAAATGTTCAAATACATATTTCAATATGAAAGTTAATGAATTACACAAAATAAAAGAATAATTTGCAGAAGTAGCCTTTATTTCTTGAAAAACATGTTCAGTACTTGAAATTTATCAAACACTAGGCACTGGAAGACCCCACTATTGACAGTGACCCCCTAAAATGTTGAAAATGATACAAATAACCACTACTAACCCGAAATATAAAAGTGTAATATAAAAGCTAAACTGGCTAGGCTAAGAATACAACAATTTAGAAGTTTATTAAAATTTATTACACACATCTACAGTAATCTAGGCCATGGGTCAGCAAGCGATGGCCATAGCTGTTCACATTTTTTGTAAAGTTTTATTGGAACACATTTGTATCCATTTGCAAACCTGCTGTCACTAGCTGCCATTGCAGTACAATAGCTGAAGAGGGTAGTTGCAACACAGGCCATTTGCCCATCTGTCCCCTACCATACAAAGCCTAAAATGTTTTCTGCCTGGCCCTTTTCCGTGAAAATTTGCTGACCCCTGATGTATAGAATGAGGCTGGGGCTAGTTCTGGCTGCAGTAGAAACAAGCGCAGGTCCAGGATTGTTCAGTGGGCTTATGTGTGCTGCATGGTCAGCCTCCCTGCCTCTTGCCATTTGACAATGCAGGATTTGTTCTGGTGGCAAATTAAATCCTCATATGAGAAGTCAAATAAGGGCCCAAGCAGCAATCACAGGACCCTGTACATCATTGTCATGCTTTCTCCACTTGGGGAACTTAGGGTGGAAAATAATTTGTAAAATATTGTGAGGCATCACTGGTGTCATAGCTATTATACAACTCTTACGCTATTTGTTGTTTGTTGGCAGTCGGTGGGATGCAGGAGACGGTGCTCACAGTCACTGGGAAATCTGTGAAGGAGGTAATGAAGCTGGATGATGATGAAACTTTTGCCAAATTTTACCGCAGCGTGGATTACAATAGACCAAGAAGCCCTGTGGAGCTGGATGAGGACTTTGACGTCATTTTCGATCCTTACTCCCCCAAGTGAGTTACTTTGATCTCCATCTTTCCGGGAAGAGCACCTCCTTTTTCTGCCTCCACATGGTCCCTTCACCAAAATCTTCCCCACTGCTGCTTTCTTCTTTAGTGGAACTCCATGATAGCCCACTATGGTGTCAAAGCCAGGATGCAGGGCTGTGGGGCCAATGAAACACCCGGACTCCAGGCCAGATGTGCCTACAGGCAGACTACAAGCCCACAGATGTTTTTCCCGTCCCATAAAGGAGGTATCACTGGGCTTTCCACATCACTTGAATATTGTCTTGTAGTTTTTTAGGTTAATATCACTTAGAGATTTCGACACCTGCCTTTCATTTAATGTATTGAATTCTTACGCATAATTTTGAAAAATATTTGGACGGTATGGGCTCAAGTTAGTACAATTAACAAGAGAATCAGTCAAGTGTGTTGCTTAGCTTCTAATTGTATATAAAAGCAGTAGATCTGAGGACTTTCTCAGTGATGTCCAAGGATGTCTCTTCACATGGAAATGTGACTAAACCACCTAAGAAATGTGATTATGGTGTTAGTATTCCATCAGTTGCAAGTGCCAGGAAAAAAACCCAGGTCAAACTGACTTCAGCAAAAGAAAGGTATGGAAGGGTTTAGGGGCTTGCTCACTAGTAAGTGTGGGTGTGACTCGCTTCTAGGGGCTCCTCAAAGTGCAGCCTCTCTCGGGGCTATTTTTCTTGGGCTGGCCTATCTTGGTCAGGCTGTGACTGTGTGGTGGCAGATGGCCACCCCTGCTCTGGATTCACAGGCTGCCTCCTTGCACAAGCAGCTCCTCTTTCCAACATCCCGGCAAAATTTCCGGGTTTGATTTTCTTGGCTCCAGCTTGAGCCCTACGTCCCTCCCTAAGCCATCCCTGGCCAGTGAGATGGAAGATGCCTTTACAGGGCTGAGCTAAGTCTGCATCCCCTCTAGCCATGGAATTGAGGGTGAGGTAGTTTCCCCAGAGGAAGATATAGATGCTCTTTCCAGAAGCAGGGGGCTGGCCACACCCACAGCAATCCTCCACAGTCATCTGTCCCTTTTTACGACATTATTAATGACAGTCTCTACCATCATCATAACTGTTTCTGTAAGCTGCCCCGATAATGCTTTTTTACATATTTCAATTCATTTTGATTTGCATGTATCAATTTCCTCCCTTAAAAACATGAACCATTTGCCATTTCCCACCTTAAAATAATACTTTGGGTATTTACATACATAGTTACTTAGTCGTTTCTTAATCTCCCTGCCCAATGCCATTGTTTAAATCGTTGCATAATAATGTAAACATATATGTATATTCACACACACACAGCAACATTATACAGGCAGAGGCCTTGTAGGCACAGACACTTGTGCCACTGGAGTCGGGAACAGCAGTCGAAACCTGTTAGGAGATCACATAACTGGGTCTTATCACCTCCCAAACTGGTTTTCTGGTTGTGAGAATATGGGGTGGTGGTTTGTGGGCCTATCTTGTTTCAGCATGATCCTCCAAGCAGTGATTATTTTCCAGAGGGGGACAGGGGATCGAGTGAAGGTCAGTCATGGCAAGATGGCTAGGGCACGGAAAGGCTATTGCATGAAGTGGTGGTTTAGTTTGGTTCAAAGAGGATTACATCAAGGAGTGGTGGTCTGCACATTTCTAAAGTGTTTGGCAGTGTCAGAGAAGGAACCACAGGTATATAATTCCAAAGAGAGAATGAAGACCTGTCTACAGGAATGATCAGGAGAGGGCAGAGCTCCCCCACCCTTACAGCTATCTAGCAGAGGAATGAGCTGCCCCAAAGGACCCAATGCCCCTCCAGGCAGATACCGAGGGTCACAAGTGAGTGGGGGCTTCTGTGAGTGACTGGGATCTTGAAATCACTGGCTTGAATCTTCTTTCCATCTCCAAGAATCTGTGACTCCGGGTCAGGGAAGTGATGGTGGAAGGAAGAGCGCTAAGATGTATAATGAAATCAGGAATAAAATCATGGGGCCATTGCTCTGGGTCCAAGAACCGTCGATTAAACAGGGGTGGCATATTGCAGACTGAGACTGAGGCTTTGTTTGGCTCTGCAGGTTGACGTCTTCCGTGGCTGAGCACAAGCGGGCAGTTAGGCCCAAGCGCCGGGTTCAGGCTTCCAAAAACCCCCTGAAAATGCTGGCGGCAAGAGAAGATCTCCTTCAGGAGTACACGGAGCAGAGGCTAAATGTTGCCTTCATGGAGTCAAAGAGGATGAAAGTAGAAAAGAGTGAGTGTTTGGACATCACCCCACGACTGTGTCTGTAAGCTGCTCCAGATATGAACAGATACTCTGTTATTTTAATCTTGTCTTGTTTTCCTGCCTTGTGAAAACCAATACTGGTATTTCGCAGATACCCTTGACATGCAAGTAATATGTTTGTACATACATCTGCATTCTTGCCTAGAAGTTCTGTAACTTCTTTCACACAAATTCTTACAGCATGGGTCATCCATCTGTTCAGTTGGTGAATTCAAATTGTCCAGCTTGGTTGAGTTTTCTTTCAAGAGATTGGAGGAGAAGGATGTTTCTAGGTGTTGTAGTTCAGCTCATTTTTCAGTTCTGTAGAGCCAGACGCAATGTTTCTCCACTTAATCTTATTCAAGAGCAAATCATTTGATCTCTCATGGGAAAATGGCCCAAGTCAATGCTTTTCCTAGTCCTAGAGTTTCATATTATTAAGTAGTGCATAAACCAGTGCTTTTCCATTTGTGCTTGGTAGGAGTCTCAGTGTCTCAGAATTGAGATGTGGGTTGATTGGAGCAGGAGTGTTGGGGTGGGCTGAATGAATGGGGGGTAGCTCCAGCCTCTCTGCTCCCACTTGAGTCTGGGTCACACTGCTTTTCTCTACCCTGTAACATGGAGTTCTGTGGTACTGAAACAGTGGTTTTCTTGGTGGAGGTAATAGCATGCGTAATCTTGGTATTTTTTTTAATATTCTTGCTATAATAATCACTTTTCTATAGCATCCATAAACCTATTTACTAAAGTTTTTCTTAGAAGTATAGTATTTAGAGGAAGTAATTGAATATTTTAATTATAACTGGGTTACTAAGAAAGTGATTTTCAGAATGACTACACTATATGAATTGTCAGGTCATGTTCTGTTTCCTCAAACTTAATTTCAGCAAAGGATTTTTCTGAATTTCTCTCCAGCATATACACTTTTTAAAACAATAAGTTGGAAAAATAAAGATTTGTTGGTACAAATGTTACGTACTTTTTTTCTGTTTCCACTTTTGGGGTACTCTGGATGGCTGAGTGATGACTAACTGACCCAGAGATATTTGCTGGTCTGCACTGAAAACCCAGCATCATGTAATTACAAGCTTAGGTCTGACAGTAGAGGACCTCAAGATATCAGCTAGTTGGTCACTTTGCCTCCAGAAAAAAAGTAGAACCTATTACCATATGAAGACATTTAGTGGCTGGGCAAGGTGCCTCACACCTGTAACCTCAGTACTTTGGGAGGCTGAATCAAGAGGATTCCTTGAGTCCAGGAGTTCAAGGTTAGCCTGGGCAATATAGCAAGACTCCATCTCTACAAAAATAAGTTAAATTAAGAATTATCCAGGTGTGATGGTGCACACCTATAGTCCCAGCTCCTTGGGAGAGGCTGAGGTGGAAGGATCACTTGAGCCTAGGCATTCAAGACAGCAGTGATTGCCTTACTCATACCTAAAAAAATATGGCGCAAAAGCTATAGACAAAATTTAATGCTTCATACAGGTATGAAAGCAATATAAAATATCAATAAATCATGCCAGAATAAAATACTTCTAAGAAAGGTGGGATTATTATAGGCGTGCCAAAAATGTTCAATGTTAATCTGTCAAAAGGTGAAAAATGTCTTCAAATTAAAGTGAAAATAACACCAACAGCACATTAAATAAGATATGGTAATAAGTTAAGGAATAGAAATTCAATTTAAGTAAAATTCAGTGTAAGTAAAATAGAAATAATAGGATACTACCTATATATAATCCTATGTATTTACCCCGAAATAATAGCAAGCATCATCTTAGAAAATGAAACATTAAAGTCATTTTCATCTAAAAAAAAAAAAAAGACTGAGTGAGCTATGATTGCACCAGTCCAGCCTGGGCAACAAAGCAAGATCCTGTCACTGAAAAAACAAGAAAAAAAAAGAAAAAGAAAAAGCCTTTGGTGAAAGACATCTATCAGTCATCCTAGGGAATACATTTCAAAGTCTAAAAATTATTAGAGTTTATAACAGCTTTCAGAGGAATTGCAACACATTAATTTCACTCCTAGTTTTATATGAAAGTAGCTAGTCCACGTTGTCACTCAGTTTGTGTCCCTCTGCATGGTGAAGTGTGACACTTGTCAACAAGCAGTTTGTACTCTCAGTTCTGCATTTAGTCTTCACACAGTGGTTGAGTGTTGACCTGCACAGACCATCAAACTCCAATGTGTTGCCCCCAGGATAGCCTTGAAAGACGTTTTCAGAGAAATGAAGTTTCAATAACCCACCGAACATGTGTGATCTTTCTACAGCCCTTCGGTTTTGTGCCAACATTCCATGTATTTTGAATATGAGTAAAAACTGATCTTTATTAAATGAGAGCAGACTTAAAGTAGCTTTGTACGCCTTAATGTTCACTTTGATTTATTTTAAATCTCTACATTATCAGACCAGGAGGCACTGCTGTGAAAGATAATTTACTGTTCTAAAATATCAATTTAAAATAAAGAATATAAAAAAAAAGAAAGACAAAGGCAGTGAGTCAGTGGCAATCATTTCCAGTTGTAAACATTGGGCCTTCAACTACTGTTTCCTTATTTACCTGCCCAGTGTCTTCCAACTCCAACTTCTCAGAGGTCACTCTGGCAGGTTTAGCCAGTAAAGAAAACTTCAGCAACGTCAGCCTGCGGAGTGTCAACCTGACCGAGCAGAACTCCAACAATAGCGCAGTGCCCTACAAGAAGCTGATGCTGCTACAGGTCAAAGGTATCTCAGAGCGGCGGGATGGAATGTCATGATGGCCAGTGGCTTCTCACGGGGGCGGGAATGTGTGCTTTTTGAAACTCTACTGGATGCCGTGCCAACTCCTCTCACTTAAGTGTCCCCAGATCCCACAGGGCAGGAAATACTCTGCCCACTGGGGCTGCAAGAGGTCAGTAACATGCCTGGGGTTACGGCAGCTGATGGGTGTACAGAACAAGATTCAAACCTGGGTCTCCCCCATTCCAGAATCCCAGCTTTCATTCCTGCTGCCCCATGACCCCGCCACACATTGCCATGTAGTCACGGGGTGCACCCTAAGCAGGGTGGTTCCCTGCCCTCTCCTCAGTTTTCCTTGTGGTGATCAGCTAGAGACAATGCAGGCCAGAGGGGGAGAGGCACTTTCCCCTCCAGCGCCCTTCCTGTTCATAGTAAGGGAGACTTGAGACTCCCAGGGACCCTCTGGGCCATAAGGAGAGAGACCCTGCTTCCTCCTGGTAGCCACCCCTCTAGATGAGTCCTCAGGAGGAGGACTGACACCGTATCCTCTGCCTCTGGGAGGGTTTCAGATGTGTTTCTGCATAAAAACTGTCCCTTTTCATATATTTAAAAATACTTGTTACAAGCTCAAGTAACCAATCTCTGTCCCAGGTTCTAACTCAGAGACTGGTAGTGTACTTGTGGAAAGATTGAAATCAACAAATCATTTAGGCCGCCTCCAAGCTGCTTCCCATCGAGATGATCTGTGGTTTATAGTCAAAACTCCTGGAGGACAATCCCACAGGAGGGCATGTGTGCCTTTCTCTGCAGCGTGACTGGCAGATGTTAATGGGTGTAAGAGATGGGACGGGTGGAAGGAAAGGCCCTAGAAGAGTGAAGGAGTGAAAAGAAGCATGTTTTCTCCTTTCCTGGGAGCCTTGAATAATACATACACATGCTGTAAAAACACTGAGAATTGTCCTGAGAAGCATGGTGACATTTGAGAAAGCACTAAGTGGGAAGTAGTTGCTAGATAATGCTATCATGGTGCCTATGTTACCCCCTTTCCCCCACCATGTCACCCTGGGTCATGGGAACTAGTGTTAGTAGACAGGACTCTCTGGAACTGACAGAGTCCCCAGCAGGGATGCTTCAGATGTGAGGTGCGCCCTTGTCCCCACTCCCCTGTCTGGAAAGAAGGTGACTCTCCCTTCATGTTCAGGAAGAAGACACGTGCAGACCAGGCTGGTGGAACCTCGAGCTTCGTCGCTCAACAGTGGGGACTGCTTCCTCCTGCTCTCCCCCCACTACTGCTTCCTGTGGGTGGGAGAGTTTGCAAATGTCATAGAAAAGGCTAAGGTTGGTATCTGGAAAATAAAAATTCTTTAGTTAACCTCTCCTTTATACACGTAGAATGCTCTTCCAGCTGTCAGATCAAGCATTAGAAAGCTTCTCACATGCCAGGTGTTTCACTCAAACTAGAAGGGATAGGTAGGTAGTAGTATTTATTCTTCTGAATGTCTCTCCAACAAGCTTTCATTAGGTGCTTAAGTGGGATCTTTTAGGACTATGACCTATACCTCCAGTGTTTAAATCCTGGTTTTATTCTCACTTCTGTGTAAGAAAGACATTAGCCTCACTTCAAAGTTTCTCTATCCAGGCACCTATGAAGTTCTGCCACAGACCTATTGAGCGAGAATCCCATGGGGGTAAAGCCCAGAGAATGGCATTTTCTAAAAGCTTCCCATGTGCCCTGTTAAAGATTGAGAAATGTTGCTCTAAAGAATTGATACCCATGAGTCCTTTAGTTACATTTTCTTGACTTTATTGAAAATACCCAATAACTAGCATCCACCCATATCTGTAGTCACACAGGTTTCTTTTCAGACACACACCGTTTCTTTTCTCTGATTTTGACATGTGCCACTCTGTCTAGCCATGGGCTTTTCTTCCAGGTAATTGTGTTCATCTCTTTTTTTAGGCCTCAGAACTTGCAACGTTAATTCAGACAAAGAGGGAGCTGGGTTGTAGAGCTACATATATCCAAACCATAGAAGAAGGAATTAACACACACACTCATGCAGCCAAAGACTTCTGGAAGCTCTTGGGTGGCCAAACCAGCTACCAATGTAAGAGTTTACTATATTTCAGAGATTGAATGCAACTTGAAACCTCCTTTCTTTTCTCTTGGATAATTTTTCTAAACCAGCTACTTTGTAATATTAAATGTGATATTCTCTTACTGTTCTTATCCCAAAGCTGCTGGAGACCCAAAAGAAGATGAGCTATATGAAACAGCCATCATAGAAACAAACTGCATTTACCGTCTCGTAGATGACAAACTCGTCCCAGATGACGACTACTGGGGGAAAATTCCTAAGTGCTCCCTTCTGCAACCAAAAGAGGTATGGGCTCTACCTCCAGTAAGAAAGCACATCTAAAGCACTCTACATATGGCTGTCCAATAAAATGGATAGTTAGTGCCTAGTAAAAGTTGCCAGTGTTAGTTCTCACTGTAGAATATTCACAGCTTCTTTTTTGGGGGAGTGAGGGGCTCGCTTTCTTGTCCAGGCTGGAGTGCAGCAGGATGACCATGATGATCATGGTTCAGCCTTGACTTCCCAAGCTCAGGTGATCCAACTTATCATCTCAAGTAGCTGGGACTACAGGCACACACCACCACAACCAGCTAGTTTTTAAAATTTTTTGTAGACATGAGGTTTTGCTGTTTGCCTAGGTTTGTTTCAAACTCCTAGGCTCAAGCAATTCTCCCACCTTGGTCTACCAAAGTGCTGAGTTTGCAGGTGTGTGCCACCACACCCAGCTTTCATGGTTTAATAAAAGGATATTTGTGATTTCAAACCATTACTTACATCTTAAATACCAAGATAGAATTTAGAATATTGTTCAGAGGCAGCATGGATCTTGGAAGGCTTTTCTATTTTAAGAAAAATGAAAATGTGACTTAATCCTAGCTCTTGCATTTTGTATAAACACTAAATAAAATAAAGTCCTTACATTTGAGGAGCAATAGATAAATGTATATGTGATTTCTGGATTTTATACCAGTACATATTTATTAATTAGATATATTTCTAGTATCATTAGGTATGCTAAGTGTTGAGAAAAATGTAGAAGACACATAGGGACTTAAATTTCATAGGATAGAAGAGTATTATCATGTAATCCAAAGCTAGGTTGAGTGTATGATATATATGGGCACTGAAATGGGGGGGGAAAGTCACAGAAAAAGAAATAATCGGAATAATTTTAAAGAAAAGGTGAAAATTGAGCCTAGTTTATAGTTCAGTAATACAGCAGTGTGGATTCCTGGCGATGAAGGGAGATTTATTCTAAGAGAAAGAATAGAACAAACCACAGGGATGAAATTAAGAAATAGCGTTACATTCATGTATTCATTCAGCACTTAGTATAAAACTCCTGCTGTATGTATCATGTATAACATGGTCCTTAAGGATCTTGGAATTGTATACCAGAGAGAAGACGTCATGGAATCTGAGCATGTATAAAGTGGCCTGTATATGCTAAGTGAATGAATGAGCAACTGAGGGAGAGAGAAACAAGGGAGAGGGAGGAAGGAAAGAAGACAAGAAGATGTACTTGAATAGCTCTTTCATGAATCCAAAGTTGTAGGCAGTTTGAGAGTTCAGAGTAGGGAATGTTAGCTTGGGCATTTGTTTTTGGGTTTTGTTTTTTTTTTAAGGGATAAGGTCTCGCTGTTTTGCCCAGACTGGTCTCAAACTCCGGGCTCAAGCTGATCCTCTTACCTCAGGCTCTCAAAATGCTGAGATTACAGGCATGAGCCACCACACCCTAGCTTGGACATTTAGTACATTGGAAGAGGAAATCAGACCCCTAAGCAGAGACTACCTTGGCAGTGCAGTGCCAGCTGCAATCATGTGACCCTTCTTGTCTCCACTAGGATTTGTGTCCTCACCCATTTGATTCACTGTCTGCAGAAACCTTGACTCACTGGAGCACATTCTTGAAGCTAACAAATTATTTTGTGCCATTTCCCCAGGTACTGGTGTTTGATTTTGGTAGTGAAGTATATGTGTGGCATGGGAAAGAAGTCACATTAGCACAACGAAAAATAGCATTTCAGCTGGCAAAGCACTTATGGAATGGGACCTTTGACTATGAGAATTGTGACATCAATCCATTGGATCCTGGAGAATGCAACCCGCTCATCCCCAGGTACTCCCGTGCTCATGGTCTGGCTCTGCAAACAGACAGATTCCCCCTGCAAGCCTCAGTTCTCAACACGATCCTCTACTGTCGCTTTTTGTACATTTCAGTTTTTATAAGTGATTACGTGCAGAGGACAGTGAATATTCGCAAAAAGAACACGTCTTTAACTTTTACCTAACTCATATAGAAGTATGGATGTTGTTGTATTCATAGTGTTCTGGAAGAGGTTTGTGTTCTATTTAATGTCTTGAAGGGAAAAGATAGTTCCCACCTGCAACATCCCCAGTGCTGTTGGACAGATGAGCAGCAATTGTTTAAACAAATCACATGCTGACATGAAAGGCTTCCCGGGATCTGGAATTCAGCCATAGATCTGAAGGTGCAAAAGCAACACATAGCCTTCTAATTTCATGCCTTCCCAGCACAGCTCTGGAATTCCAGGTTTTCCTTGGCAGCAGATGATATTTATGCTTTTATGCCTTTGGGGGAGGGACAAAGGAGAATATGGTATTAATTATTGCAATTTTAATATTCCCTATAGTATACTGAACTTTTAAAAGTCATTTTGGGGCCAGACATAGTGGCTCATGCCTGTAATCCCAGCACTTTGGGAGGCCAAGGTGAAAGAATTACCTGAGCCCAGGAATTCAAGACCAGCCTGGGCAACATGGCAAGACCTTATCTCTATAATAAATAAATTAATTCATTAACCAGGCCTGGTGACACACACCTGTAGCCCCAGCTACTTGGAAGACTGAGGCAGAAGGATTGCCTGAACCCAGCAGGTCGAGGCTATGGTAGCTGTGATTATGCCAATGTACTCCAACCAACTCCTCATAAATAAATAAATAAATATCTAGTCATTTTGGCAAGTCCATAGAATATGCACAACTCTAAGAAATATGATTATAAATAAAGTAATTCTTACATGCAAATAATTGTTTAACTATCAGACCAAAAAGATAAAAATACTTTTTAACTAAGTGTGCCGTATAATAAATTAGAAATGGATATGCTACCAGATACTATAGAATACTGAATACCAAACAACTTCCTTTTGATGTTTCCCACTGAACTAGTATACAAATTTCAACTTTCTGGGGCAGGCGCGGTGACTCACACCTATAATCCCAGCACTTTGGGAGGCTGAGGTGACAGGATTACCTGAGCCCATGGGTTTGAGACCAGCCTGCACAACTTGGCAAGACCTCATCTCTACAATAAATCAAGAAAAATTAGCCAGACATGGTGGCACATGCCTGTAGTTCCAGCTACTTGGAAGGCTGAGGCAGGGATCTCCTGAGTCCAGCAGGTTGATGCCACTGCCCTCCAGCCTGGGCAGCAGAGTGAGACTCCAATTCAAAAAAAAATTTTTTTTTCAACTTTCCTTCCTAGTTTCCTACTTTAAAATCCAATTATTGATTTTATTATTAATTATCATGATAGGAATCATTTAAAAATATGTCTATGTGGTGAATAATTTTAAAATCCTTTTTAAGCAAATGCACATTTAACATTGGTGCTGTAACAACTAGTGTTTTAAGAACTAACGCTAGGACTAAAAAGATTATTTTATTTGGTATGGTGAAAGAAAAATACGGCTGAAGCATAAAATCCCTATGATGGTCAGTTTATATTAAACAGTGACATAATCCCAGGTCTGAAGGTAGATACGTGAGCACCTAGCCCCTGGTTTTCAACATCTCTGAGACAGAATCACTAGGGGAGCTTTAAAAAAAAAATGCATTTGCTGGACCCAGCCCCAGAGATGTGTTTTCAGTGTGTGAGGGTTGGTACTTACGTGTTTGTGTGTCTTAAAAGCTCCCAGGGATTTTAAGGTACAGCCATTACACACACCCAGCCCCTCCTAACAAACGAGGAGGCTGAGCTCTCCAGCATGGTTCCAACCTGTGAGCCAGGAAGGCAGTGGAGAGATGCCCCGGCCCCTGCTGCAGGTGTATACCTGTCACACTGCAATCTGCTGGTCTGTCCTAAAGCTTCAAAGTGTAAAAGACAGATTTCTAAAGCGGAAGCCAGGAACCCTTTCTGGAGTCATGTTAGCAACTCTGCAGAGCAGGATTTGCATAAAAGACAGTCCTTCAGCTATTTTTTTGATAAAGACGAGAGCCTTTCAAGGCAGCCATGAGCTCTCCATAGTTGCTAATGTTTGGTTGTGAAAGTCCCATGAGAGCACGAGGTGGAGTATTTGTGTTCTGCATTTATCCTTTCCACTTCCTTTGAGACTGGCAGCTTTTTTGATGTGCCTCAGTGGTGACTGTCCTCCTGACCAAACAGAAAGTGCCTGAAGCAAGGTCACAGCAGGCACAAGCAGCTCTGCTGTTTGGTCCCATGGGCCCAGGTCACACCAGAGATGAATTTTGGGGGATGAAAAATACCTGCACGTGACCCTTGGGGCTGTGCCCTCTCCAGCCTGGATTTTCTCAGCTCCATCTTTTTCTATGTCTCCTATGTTCTTGGGCTCAGTATCCAATTCTGAAATCCTGAGCCCACAGGAGGCTGCCCGGTTGGGCTGGGCCGCTCCCTTCCCTGAGTCTTTGTGCTCTCTCCGCCTGCCACTGTAGCCAGTGGTCTAGAAATAAGTGTGTACAAATTCACTTTATGAAATATGAAAGTATGTTCATTTTAGTAATGGGGTATCTCTATCAGGAAAACTTCATTGTAACATGACTTAAAATAATAGAGAATTCAGGGTGAACTGTCAACTCCCCACATCTCTTAATTAATTGGAGGGAAACTTGTGCACCTGCAGGTCACTGGGCCACATGAAGCAGGCGAGTAAGGTACGCACGCGGCTCTTGCCTTTGCTGAGCTCCCAATCCAGTGTGTGCTCCCAATCCAGTGTGCACTCCCAGGCCATCCAAAACAGGAACTTGCCAGAGTGCAAGAAAAGTCCAGCCCTGACATGGTTCCCATCCCATTTGGACACACCTCCGTGGACACAAGGCTTTGGGCTAAAATAATAAAATGTCGCTTATTTGGTAAAATACATTAAATAAATCGTGTATTCTATATACCGCTTAATGTATTTTGAGGTTTTTTTTTTTCAGTTTGCTAGATTCCTCTATTTTAGCATAGCTTAATCTTGGTTCTCTTCCTGTCTACTCCCTACCCACCCACCCACCCACCTACCCACCCTGCAGAAAAGGACAGGGGCGGCCTGACTGGGCGATATTTGGGAGACTTACTGAACACAATGAGACTATTTTGTTCAAAGAGAAGTTTCTGGATTGGACAGAACTGAAGAGACCTAGTGAGAAGAATACCGGGGAGTTTGTCCAGCAGAAGGTATTCCAGGTGCTCAGCCTCAGACTCCGGGCTTGGTTTGGGTCTCAACAGAGGGCCTTGATGTAAAATGATCACATTAGAGTAAGCAGTATATCCATCAGCCCATGGATTTGTCATTTTCTTATGGGGAGAACATCCAAAAGCCTCCTTTCTAGCTATTTTGTAATATACAGTACTTCACTGCTAACCACAGTCACCACAGTCACTGTGCAATAGGACACCAGAATTTACTCTTCCTGTTCAGTTGTCACTTTGTACCCATTGATCAGCCTCTCTCATCCCCTTGCCTTATCCCGCATACAACAAATACACATGTTAAGATACTCCATACAAAAATATACAGTAATACTGTGTCAATTTTGTTAATTTTTAAAATTAAAAAATAAGAGATAACCCCCCCACAAAGTGACCTCAAAGCTAAAAACCTTCCCAGGATCCACTAGGTGAACAGCAAACTGGTCTCCAGTTATAATCCAACTCCAGGAGGTGAAAATAGCCCCATTTGTACCCGTTCTCAGCATCCCATGCACTATTGCGTCGATGGGTTTTTAGGTCTCCCAGAGTCTTTCTGGAAATGCAGTCTTCCCCTAAATGCAGTTAGATGCCCCAAGACAACGTGTGGAAGCTGTGTTTTTACACTGTCCCAGTTGAAATATCGTGGAGCTTGGCAAGGAATGGCTGTGGAAACAGAGGCAGCTGAACCAACATTTTCGTGTTCCCTTGTAGGAAGACCCCAGGGCCGACATCAAGCCCTACGATGTGACGCGGATGGTGCCCGTGCCCCAGGCGGCGGCAGGCACCGTGCTGGATGGGGTGAACGTTGGCCGTGGCTATGGCCTGGTGGAAGGGCCCGACAGGAGGCAGTTTGAGATCACCAGTGTCTCTGTGGATGTGTGGCACATCCTGGAATTTGATTACAGCAGGCTCCCCAAGCAGAGCATCGGGCAGTTCCATGAGGGGGATGCCTATGTGGTCAAGTGGAAGTACATGGTGAGCACCGCAGGTTAGTGAGCACTCTCATTTTCTTCCAGCCCACAGGGGCCTGGCCCAGCAGCCCTGGAGCAAGCTTCTCAGGGCCCTGCCATGCTACATGCCGGTCATGGGCCTCTCAGAGACACTTAGTCAACCCTAGGGATGAAAAGAAGTTGGGCCAAATTCCTGACAACCTCCGATGTGCACTTACGGAAATCAAGCTTGCATGCAAGGCTTCTCTGCTGCCCGCCCTCCCTCCTCTCCCCATCACCGGAGCTTTTCTAGGAAAGTGATGATTTGCCTCCAAATGATATTTACTATGTGGCTGTGTGCTGCTTCAATTAAAGTCGTTAAGTAGAGCATATCTGGATGATTTAAAACTGGAACCAAATGCTGGCATAACGTTATAGTAAATACACACATACAAGATTTATTTAAAAAGTAAAAGAGGCTGTTTCCTCTGAGGCTGAGCACACTAGCAGTGCTTTGTGGATCTGGCATAAAAAATACATCGTCAAACTCCCTGGTTCCTGTCAGTGAAATACTCCATAGCAAAGCTTTCAGTTGGATGCTTGGTGAGGGGAGGAGAAACCATGAACTTTGGAGAAATGGTCCCTTTTCCCTGTCAAGAAGTCACCTTTGTCCACAGCTTCTCATCCCCCCCAGTTAGGAGAGCGCATCACAACTCTGACTGCCACTCCCAAGAGAGCTTTTCACCTTCCTACAGCTCCCTGGCTGTCCAGGACTGGCTGCCCCCAAGGCCACAGGAAGCGAAGGCGGTCATTTACTGCTCAGACATCCATAGGCTCGTAATCATGTGATTTATTTCCTGATTTATCAAACATGAGTCTCAATCAATTGACAGCATTTCCTGAGCGCCTACTCTGTATAAGGCACAGTTTGTAGGGACTAAGTGACATTTCGGACCCTACCTCCAACAAGTGTAGGATATTAATGACACTGAGACAAGTGCAGGGAGAGGTGACCATCCTCCATGTGATGTGAATCACTGGAGACTGGACCCAATAGCAGGAGGACAGCCCCGCAAACTGCAGCCTGAGCAGCCAGGCATGATTGGGCTGGTGACAGTGAGGGTTGACAGGGCAGCATGGTATGCAGAGTCTGGGCCCCAGCACCCGATGCAGGAGTCGTGAGTTTGGCTACAAGAGGAACTGACTCGAGCTTGGGCTACCAAACACCCCAAACTTCAGGGGCTTCTTAAACACAAGTAGGAATGGGATCTTCCAGGGCCTGGGTAGCTCCAGCCTCTCCTTCCAGGGAGTGGTGAGGTGTCAGATGAGGACTCCTGCAGGAGGGGCATTTCTCACCTGCTTAGTTACTCATGAGTGATCTAGCGACTGGAACTGCTCCCTTTTCGTAAGGACATCCTGTACCTTGGAGGAAAGGCTACAGGCACTGGGACCCTAGGGCCTGGGTTGTAGAATCACAGTCCCTTACTTACCAGTTACTTCACCTGTCCGAGCCTTAGTTTTCTTACCCGGAAAATGGGGGTTCTGATACCTAGCTCACAGGATGTTATAATCTGGTTTATAGGATATTTAGCAGGGCGCCTGGCTCGTGTTCACACTGTAGGTGTAGGAAAGACTCAGCCCTCATGACTTTAGGAGCAGCAGCATAATTACCATGTATACCTTGAAGATAAGGTGGCAATTCCCAGAGTCATAGTGGATTTAAGCCCCTGATCTGATGCAAAGGTGACAGGCTATAGTAATAACCTTTGCTGTTGGTGGCAGTGAAGATAATAAGGGGAATCTCGTGTGTTTGGGGATCTTCACACCTTTGGAGCTGTGGAACTGAGAACTTTAAGGAACAAACTTTAAAGACACCCGTAGTTTCCATTCTTAAAATGCAGAAAGGGAAATGTATGTTGTTTAAAACAAGAGTAAGTTTTGAAATTTAGTCATTTTCTTACCTTAGCTGTTAGTTATGAGAAAGCTGTAATAATAGTCAGTGAATGAATGAATAAAATTGTATTAGAGTGAATTAACTAAAATCAAATGATGCTAAGACTGCCAGGACCTTCACGGACTGTTGACTTGGAGACCCCTAAGAATCATAGTTTGGCTCAGGCGATTCCTTTCTCTATTTCTTCCCAAGAAACACAGTGTGTACCTCACAGCCAGCTCTAGCAACATCTTTATGAGCAAAGTTACAATTTTGAGAAAGTCCAGCTGCAGAGAATTGAGTTAGACCAGGGAGCGTTCAGATTCCAGACCATCCCTCTAGGAGCAGAGGAACACAGCCCAATGGCATTTGCAGCTGCTCTGTAGCCATCACTGGAGCCAGGTGACACCCCTTGGTGACAACCACTCCAGCTCCTCCATCACTCCTGTCCCATGGGGACCACACCTACAAACAGGACTGAGTCAGCGCTGAGGGCTCTCCTCTGCGCTGGGTCAGCAGACAGCTGCTCGGGGTGCCCAGTGAGGCTGGGTCAGGCTTTCTGGAAAGTGACACAGGCTGAGTTCCTATAAATAGGTGGTTCTGTCCTATTTATAGGACATGAGCAGTTCTTCATACCTCTGTGTTCTATTACTCCTAAATATAACTACTGGTAACAAATTTACTCTTGAAGAAGTTATTATTTTTTAGAGAAAGGGTCTTGCTCTGTGGCCCAGACTGGAGTGCTATAGCATGATCATAGCTCACCACAGCCTCAGTTTAGAATTCTTACAAATAAAAACATAGGCTCTACATTTCTAAAATTAAAAATTAATAAATACACTAAAATTAAGTTTATATAGTACTAAACTTGCATATGTTAAGGATAATTAGTGAAATGTCTGTTTTATGAAGTACCTTTAAGGCAATACAGTGCAATTTTAGGTTTATACACTCAAGTCTAGTTTAGAATATTAGGGTATGATGGTGGTTATTTAAGTGTGAATACATATTTATATAATGTATTGGAGTACTAATAAATTCTAAGGTCTATATAAACCGTTGTGATCTATTTTAAGCGTATCTTTCCCCAGTAATCAAGCTAACATGATGAATTTTCACTACTTTGAGGAATGGAATTGTTAACCAAAGGCAAACTTCTGTTGCTAAGTAAATTAGCAGATATTTCCATTGAGTGGCTTCCAAATTCATTGTGGGGATTTATAATCTACTCATTGGTGGTTTGTGTGTAACTTGGCTCTCTCAAAACACACAAACTTGACCATTTCAGATCCACAGTAGATGGCACCAGAGGCTGTTCTTAGTCAAAATACTTTAAGAAATTATTAGAATCATTTATGAAAATTGAGTTATGTATACTTTGCTAAACAAAGGACCAAAAATCTATGTTCCCTGACATTTTAAGAATTTCAGTGAGCTTTCTTCTTACCTTTAAACCTCAATGCAACTGAGATTTTATAAATGGAATTGGAGCTGAGAAGAAATTAAGGGAATATAGAATTCATTTTTAACACGCATGTGCCAACCAACTGCATTCTTCCACTGTTGATTCCCACTCACCTGGGCCTTTGAGTCAAGAACTTGAAGCCCAACATGGTGGTTCATGCGTGTAGTCCCGGCTACTTGGGAGGCTGAGGTAGGAAGATTGCTTGGGGCCAGGTGTTTGAGACTGCAGTGTGCTATGGTCCTGCCAATGTACTCCAGCCTGGGCAGCAAAGCAAGACCCCATCTCTAAAAAAGAAAAAAAGAATTTGGTCTCCTGACCTCACTTAGCCTAGAAGGTTCTGCTTCCTGATGGCCCTCATCAGGTCTCTTCCATCTCCTCACAAGACCTTCCCTCAGCAGGCAGTCCATTAACCCAGTCCTGCCCAGTGGCATCTCTCGTCCTCATAGCACTTATCACCGTCTAAAATTGTCTTGCTCATCTGTTTGTTTATTAGAATGAAAGCATGGAAGTTGTTTGTCTTGTTCATCATTGTAGCCCCCATTTCCTGAAGAGTCCCCGCTCAGTGAATATTTTTTGAATGAATGAATGAAAGAAGGGAATCTAGAGTAAGATATGTCCCTAAAGGTAGAGATGCTGAGGTCTGCAATGCGGTCTAAAATGCCCCTTGACCAGTTAACCTTCCATGGCCACTCCCCAAGCAAGCGGTTGGCTCTTTCTCCTGCATGTTCACTGCACGCCTATGAGGTACCTGCCACAAGGACCAGTGGCTCTTAATCCAGGCAACAGCCCAGTGGCAAACGTGAAATCCCAGATTATTTTAGGAAGGTGGTAGTCAGCAGTCTATCTCCTGTATTTCTGACAGAACTTGGCAACATCCAAGTTTTCTCTTTTTCACTAGAATGGTTTTAGCAGTCTGCATTTTTCCTTTATGTTTAAAGCTGGTCCAGCTGCTGTTTTTGGTACCTGCTCTCTAACAGCTAATCATTTGCCAAAGAGTAGAGTCATAGGGAAGATGTGTTTGTGTCTGTGTGAGCCCTTGGTTCTGCTTTGATGGTCACCAAACACTGGAAGAAATGATTCTGTCACATTCTTGGCGTGGTCTGCCGTCTTCCTCTGGGATGACGGGTGTTTTTCTTAGGGTATCGGTTGGGCCCTTCAGATCATCTTTCTCCACTCTGGAGGACTCAGCTCAGGGAGCTGGAGGAAGGGTGGCCTCTGTCTTCCCATGGTCTGACAGGCCTTCCTTCCAGGTGTGAGTGGTTTCTCCTCAGCCCAGGCCTGAGACTATCTCTTCACCCATGGTCCTTTGAGGCCCTGGAGAGGTGAGCAGGACTTGCTTCTCCTCAGGCTTCCCAACTGCTGACCTGACTTTCGGGCACCCTGTGTGTTTGCAGTGGGAAGCCGGCAGAAGGGAGAGCATACCGTGCGGGTGGCTGGCAAGGAGAAGTGTGTCTACTTCTTCTGGCAAGGCCGCCACTCGACTGTGAGCGAGAAGGGCACGTCGGCGCTGATGACGGTGGAGTTGGACGAGGAAAGGGGGGCCCAGGTGAGTCCTCCCACCGAGACCCAGAGGGGCATCCATCCCAGGGAGCTGAGGATGTGCCCTGGCCCTGCCATTCTGATTCTACTGAGTGAGGACCAGGCCACCCAAAGGTTCTAGGCCCCATGTGTTCCCCCTGCTTCCCAGGCTGCAGTGTAGGATCCAAGACAGAGCGTTGTGTCTGCAGATAGTAAACCCACAACAAGCCCAAAGAGCCGATAAGGAACTTTGAAAGGTTCGCTCAACTCATCGTCAGGAGGTATAAGTGAAACAAGATTCCCTCATCTGCTTCTAAAAGTGGTGGCGACTTTTTAGAGAGTAGATCGGGCTGGCAAGGAGGCTCGCAGGAAGAAGACCCTCACATGCTTCTGGTGGGAAATGTGACTGGAACAGCCATCCTGAAGAGCAGGTTTGGCTCAAGAACCCTAAAAACTCGATCAGATATTCCATTTACACAGATCCACCTGGGGGGAATACCTGAAATTCCTCACAGCAGCCCCGTGGTTTTTCTGGAACTCATCAGAGCGAGCCACCCCTCGCCCTCTGCCACACAGACTGAGGTCTATTTGGGTTCCAGGCCTCCAGCACCCATGTGGGGACCCCAGGTACCCCTTCTAGCTCCTGCTGCTCTCAC